GGGGGGGGGGGGGGGGGGGGGGTGGATGGAGAGGTAAGCGAAGGAGGAAAACTCGGGAGACAATTAAGCCAGCAAGCGTCACTAAGATTTTCCGGGTTTACATGCTAAATTAAACGAAATTCCCTTTCAGCATAAATGTCTTTTGATCATTGCCAGACCGTGCGGCCGCGCCCTACGAGGGACGCGTAAATAGTCAAAGCCTGGATTCCTCTCTTTGTCGCCGTCGCATCGTCTCGCCGCCGCTCCCCCATGGCCGACTTTTTATTCCAAAATAGATAAAAGCCAGCGCCAATTAGTCCAGTCGTAATCGAGGAGGGTAAGGGAAGCGTCGCGATTCGTTCATCCGCCCACGTCCCCCTCCCACACGCGCGCGCACACATGCACCTAACCTCGCTTCGCATCGTCCCCCTCCCAATCCCTCCCTCGGCCGACGTAAAACCATCGCCAAATACTCACGAGTATGTCCTGGAGGAGCTCGTGCTCGTCGAGGAGGATGACCTTGCAGTGTAGGAGCCTGGGCCTGCGGCTGCCGGAAGGCCTGAGTCCCGGACACAGCCAATCGACGACCATCTTAGATTACTCGCTGACTCCTGCCGATCCTTACGCTTCTCGTCCTCTCGTAGCTTCGCGTATCCCTTGGCTCGCGCGTTCTATGCCTCATGACTGGCCAACAGCCTCTGAAAAATCAAAGCGAGACAGAGCACATGAACAATTAGCACTCTCCGAGTCCTACGACATTTCCTACGAATATTAAGAAAATCGTCGAGACGCCGATCGAGATTAAGGATGCGCGCTTTTTACCGAATGTGATAAAAACACGTTGAGAAACATAACGCCGCTATCGTGCGTCTAATGCGTGCGAACTTCATAATGGCATTGGTAATACTAATTACGAGATAAGTATTGAAAATTACGAGAAGAGGAAATTGGCGTAGAGCTCCCATTTCTTTACGTCATTCAAATGCGCCTATTTTACACTTATTACGTTCGTATTTACGATGGCGACATTTTTTCTCAGCCGTGGATTACAACGAATTATAGTGTTTACGCATGCAGCGCGTGCGCGAGAGTTGTAATTTTGTATGTACCGTAACTCGCCGTAACTCGCAACGGATTTATATTATCGTAAATATACAATATATGGAGAAAAACTTGCTAATATGTATAAATTATTTTTGTAACAAAGATAACTTGAGAATTACAACGTTCTAAGGCTATTTCAACAATAATAATCCATTGATAATATAAAAGATTTGAATAGATAAAAATTTCAACGTTATATTGAATTTTAACTTCCTTTGAATAATTATACAATGACGGAAGACTCTGAGCTTTGAAGTTTAATATTTGTTTTTATAATCGACGTTTCTTATTCGCTCTTTAAAGAATGATGTAATTCTCAATGTTAACAAACGAAGCGCTAGGCAACACCAATGCCGAAATCGTTTAACTAACATTTGGACATGGAGAAAGAACATACCCATTTTCCAAATTCTCTAATTGCTTGGTTTACAATTGCATACTAAATTTAAAAATTAAAAGTTGTTCAAATTTCCTTATTGAAAAAGAGATATAAGATATTATATATATATATATATATATATATATATAAGATGCTGAAGCGCATCACAGCATCTTTGCATGCTAATAACCTCGTCGACTATATTTCTTGTTACGTAACAAGATTTTAATATTATCATAATACCGAGGGAGCAAATCGGTGCTTCTATTAAAGTATTCTCGAAGATCAAACGGAAGCTTATTTCGTGATTTAATTTCGCTTAAGCAGCTACAACATTCAAAGTGACGTTAAACTTACGGACATAGAATTACGGCTCAGAATTCATATTTTAAAGCACTATGTTTTTAAATATTTAATACGATTCATAATACATTGATTTCTTATCGGGAAATGCCCAAGCTTATCAAGGTAATAATACTTAATTTTTTTAACGTTATTTAACAAGTGAACGCTTACAGTTCAAAATTATCATTACTTATAAGTAATTGCCTATAATTTTAATGGATACTTCATGCGAAAGTGTAACTCTACAAAACTCTAACAAAGCTACCATTTTAAACAACTTTTCGCCTAATAACAATGACAATACTGTTATTTGATTCGATCAATAGTTGATTTTCTAAGTGCGCCGCGATGACTTCACCATTCAACTTTAGATATACGCCCCTGGTCTGGCGCTTTATCCATTCGCGTAAAATGTTATTACGGTACCCTTAAACCCTAATTTTATGAAAACTCACTACCTCCCAGCTCTAATCAAATCAATTCCCAAAGAGATCGCTCATTAAAGCAAATAGCCTAATACTAAATAAAACGAAAACAAAAAAAAAACAAAAAAAAAAGCATCTTTATGAAAAATGTGACAGAAATTCAAGGAATTCAAGGAATTCAAGGAATTTTGGACTCTATGATTTTTGTAATCCAGTCGGATTTTGACTCGATGATTATTGAAAAATTAAAAGACCAACTCGTTAAAACTGCAATTCCTACGTATTTTTTTCTCTTATTTCTATAATGAACCATCGATTTGTTCGCATCTGCGTTTCGATGAATTTTCTCTAACAAAATGCTTATATCATTCTTAAAAATCGAATGCCCTTACCGTGTCGTTCAATCCAGTTAACAATAAATTATCTCACTCGCGTGTATTAAGCCATTAAACATACACGAAGATAATAGACTTATTAGATGGGAATACATTTGCTTCCCACCCGCACAACTTTACAATAACGCGCGTTAATTTAATTCGCCAAAACGTTGAAAAAAGTCGACGTATAAGGTTACACTTTAAGGTATATTATTGCATTAATAAGCCAAAGAGAAACAATCAGTCCATCAAATTAAGTCGATATCTCCTCCTCATCTCTTCTCCTTTCGCAGCAGCGCCGTTGAAAGCAGGAGTGAAGGGCGAGGAGCGTACGCGACCCGCCCCGAACAAGATTTTTCGCAAATTGGTTCCGTGTGTATATAAGATATGCCGAGGCAGCGTCGGCTTTAATCGTCCCTAGACTGCATCGTGCTGTTGCAGCTCTCTGTGACTAATTTGCCACCGGAGAGACATTTCGAGGGTCTTCAAGAAAGTTACAGAGTGGCGCGGAAAGCACGAGGGAAGGAGCGCTGGCTTGGGGGTGGATATGGCGACGGGGTGCGACCGGTGGAAGGGGGCAAGGGTGGGGGGGGGGGGGGGCAC